TATGTTACTTGCTCAAACCTAAAACAACAACAACAACAACAAAAAATCATCTTTGGCTGGTTTGTGTATACAATGCACAGTCCATACTTTTATGTTTTCAGAGCAAGGGGACCAGACACCAAAGGAACTGTATGGCCCAGGGATCCAGCCTTTTGGATTGCCTCTGCTGCAGACTCCTCAGAGTTCTACATACAGAACAGCTTCAAAGCTGCTAGCTAAGATATGCCTTGTGCTTTCCCACTGTAGAGCGTCAGCTTCCCCATAGCGAGTTTTCCCAGGACTTGACCATTATCGCAGTTTTCTCAGGCTCCCTAAAGATGCCATTATCTACAGACAACAGGAAAGTATAGAAAACACAATGTCCACATTCCCAAGAGCTGGGGTGGGTGGTTTTGGTCATTTGGTGGGCTATGGATGTTTATCATCGTTTGAGGGGGGTGAGACTGGTTATGAGCTGTTATTGTCATGGTCAGGAAAAAAGCTCAACAAAGGAGATTAGATTCAGGAATCTCTTTCTAAAGGGAAAACGTGAGAGGGATATAGCATAGAATTGATGGGATAAAAAGGTGGATTGTTGAGTCTACTTTTGAACTAAAAACAGTAACAGATAGTCTCAAATATTTTACATTTATATGGATTTTTGTATACTGGTACAAATTTAAGGTTATTTTTATTATACTATATGTTACTACTTTTGTTTAAGGTATTGTGACTAGTCAGCTCATTTAACAAAGTAATGTACATTTCTAATCCTCGAAAGTTGTAATTACAAACTATTTAGGATAATGAAGAAATACAGGTTAGTAGGTAGTCATCTAACAATCAATTTGTGGCCATGTTAGGTATGTTTTCAAGGTCAAATGGATACATTTAAAACACTTCAAAGTCCTACAAAATATGACATTTAAAATGTTTTAATAACAAGGCTTTTCATGACAGCACCAATTTACTTCAAAGAACCTCCATATGGAGCTTGCTTTCTGCCCTTGCCTTGGCCCCTAATAATATGTTGTCCAAATTAGATAAGCAGAACACAAAAGAAGGCAACTGTCAAACTTTGCCAAGGCAAGATATGACAGTCCTTCAAAATTTCTGTTTCACAGAAAAGTCTGTCATATATTCTACGCCTGTAGGGAATTCCCCAACATTGCAGAGGAACCTTGGGTGACTGTCCAGGCAGCCAGCTGCTTCTGTCACTTTTATAGTTTGAGAAGATGTTTGTTCTGCGCTTCCTGCTTATTCAGGTAATATTACATCCTCCTCAGGTCTCTGATGAACTTGAAGGCAACACAGTTATAGTCACACTCTTCCTTGCTACGAAAGTCAGAAAAGAAACTCACAAGAGACGTATAAAGTTTATAAGGCTGAGAAACATAAAAGGTCAATTATCTAAGAAAATGTTTTGAGGTCTAAAAAGATAGTTTTGGGTTGATAATACAAGTTATTATGAAAAAGAGGTTTAGGTTTAAACTTTGGACTCATCATGATGGATTAGATAATAGAGTATTTTCTCTGAAATTGCCAAATACAAATGGACTGTACATTGTAAATATAATTTTTTTTTGAGACAGGGTTTCTCTGTGTTGTTTTGGAGGCTGTCTTGGAACTAGCTCTGTAGACCAGACTGGCCTTGAACTCACAGAGATCCACCTGCCTCTGCCTCCCAAGTGCTGGGATTAAAGGCACGCGCCACCAACGCCCTGTGTAAATCTGATTCTTACCTGGTAAATCTTATTACTGCGTTAAGAGTTAAAACCTTTCTTTTTTATTTAAACAAACAGGGGGAAATATCACGAGATATTTGATTATTAAGAGCCAATAGCAGGGAGGATAGTCAGGACTATGCTTGCAGAGAAAGGAGGAGGAACTGAGGAGCAGAGGGAGATATCAGGAAGCACGCAGATGAAATAGGAGGTGTGAGGGGGTAGAGAAGGTGTTCTTGTGAGAGAACATAGATGAAAATAAATGTGTTAATTTAAGTTGTAAGAGCTAGGAACAAACATATACTATCTGGAGTTTTCATAATGAGTAAGAAGTCTCCATGTTGTTATTAGGGAGTTGGCTGACAGGACAGACAGACTTGTCACACACTGCACTTGACACTGCTCTCTGAACATCCTGCTAGCTCTTCACCACAATGCATGCTTATTTACCTGCTAATCACCTCCCACCATTATATACCACTGTCTAGTTACACACCAGACTGAGGCAATTCTCAGTTGCTTAAAAATCAAGATTATAATTTTGAAGTTATTTTATTTTTAGTTATGTATATATGTGTGTCTGGAGTCCAGAAGAGAGTACTGGATCTTGTGAAGCTGGAATTACAGGCAATTCTGAGCAGCCCAACATGGGTGTTGATGACTCATCATCCTTTTTTTTTTTTTTTTTCGAGACAGGGTTTCTCTGCATTGTTTTGGAGGCTGTCCTGGAACTCGCTTGGTAGACCAGGCTGGCCTCGAACTCACAGAGATCCACCTGCCTCTGCCTCCCAAGTGCTGGGATTAAAGGTGTGCCCCACCAACGCCTGGCGAGCAGCACAAATTCTTAACTGCTAAGCCATCTCTCCAGTCCTTTAACTGTTTACGTCATTCAGAATTATGCGGTATTTTTAAATGAGTATATAGCTGGGTATGGTGATGGTGCACATGTCTGATCCCAGCACTTGGGAGGCAGAGGCAGCTGAATTCTTGTGACTTTAAGGCAAGTTGGTTGACACAAGTTCCAGGCCAGCCAGGGCCCACATAGTGAAACCTTGCTTCGGGGTGGCAGGAAGAGGTATTTGGCTGAGTGTGGTGGCACATATCTGCAATCCCTCAACTAAGGTTTAGGATAGTCAGAGCTGTTTCTAAACACAAACAGAATAGTAATATCAGAGGATTTTTTGATAAGCTGGGAAGGTATTATTTCTTCTATTTAAATTATTAAAACATGTCCAAAATTTTGCTGTTCAACATATTTTCTGATATGAAGTGTACCTAAGTAACAAGGGATCTAGTTACAGTGAAAGTGTAGAAGTGAATTTGGTTTTGGACACACCATATTATAACAGTTTGTATTTTTCTTATGAGCCAAGATGAATGTGTGCTCAAAATTTAAGAGTGGCTTTTACTTCTTTTTTTCTGCAATTAATTTCTGTCTTTTGCCCATTTTGCAGTGTTACTGATGTTTATCTTTCATACTTAAAAGCAAGCCCTTGTCTGTGACCAGGTCGTGTTCTTACTTGTGCTCCTACCATGCTTTTTCTTCCCCTTTATTCTGAAGGGTTTCTCTAACATTACTTAAAATTATCACTGCCGGGGCTGGAGAAATGGCTCAGTAGTTAAGAGCACTGGTTGCTCTTCCAGAGATCCTGAGTTCAATTCCCAGCAACCACATGGTGGCTCACAACCATTTGGAGTGGGATCTGTTGCCCTCTTCTGGCATAAAGTCATGAATGCAGCTAGAATACTCACAAAAGAAAAAAAATCATTGCCATCAAGACTTCAAAAATGTGATCAAATTCCGTATTTCCTTTCATGGAGGATTCTACACATAAACTCACCTCCTCCTCTTCTATAACTAAGGCCAGTTTTGCCTCATTTTTCTATTTTTTATGAATTTTGAATCAGTTATGTGATCTCCTTCCTATTTTCTCAAATCCTGCTGACATTTAGTTCTACATCTGAACACACTTAGGCTAGAATTCCATGGCAGAACACATAGTAGGCTTATCATGTGCAATCTTTTTTCTTTAGTAATTACATACATACATATCTAGTTAGGCTTATTTCTAGATTTTTTTTCCCTACACTGTCACTAAATTCCTTTCTTTCGGCATACTTTTATTTATTTATTTTTTAAAGATTTATTTATTACACATACAGTGTTCTGCATACATGCCAGAAGAAGGCACCAGATTGAATTTAGATGGCTGTGAGCCACCATGTGGTTTCTGGGAACTGAACTCAGGACCCCTGGAAGAGCAGTCAGTGCTCTTAACCTCTGAGTCATCTCTCCAGCCCCTTGGCATACTTTTAACTAGTTACTGATCAGATACCTGAAGGTTATTGGCTTCTCTTTATAAATTTTACTCCCTGGTGTCCACATGATATCTGTCAGAGTCTCTCAGTTGACTCTTAGGCCTCTATGTGTAGACTAAGTCATTTATCAAAAAATATTTTTTTTTGCCAAGTTCTTTCCAATTTTTTATGGTCCTCCCCCTTTGTCTAACTGCTTTGATCAAAAATATCTGCATAACATTTTTAAGAAATTAAATTTATTGAGGGTGAGGTTGGGCATATAGGGTAGGGGGTGTGTAAGTTTGGGTGCGTGTACCAAGGCCCCAGTAAAGAAGTCAGAGGACAACTTTTGGGAGTCAAGTTACTTCCTTCTACCACATGTCAAAAAAGACAGAACTGAGGAGAAGAAGCTATCTGGCTTGCATGGGAAGTGCTTTTACTTGATCAGCCATCTTGCTGGCCTGGCAAAACAATGTTAAGTAACAAAGAGAAGACTTTAAAACTCTTTACAAGAATGTTTCTACACTTGGGAGGCAGAGGCAGGTGGATGGATCTCTGTGAGTTCAAGACCAGCCTGATCTACAAGAGCTAGTTCCAGGACAGCCTCCAAAGCCACAGAGAAATCCTGTCTTGGAAAACCAAAAAGAATGTTTCTATTATTTCCCTATTAAACATGATGACAACTTTTAGATTAGGGCAGATTATTAGGAATGTAAATATTTCCAGATTGATTTCAGCTTTAAATTTAAGAATGAATACTGAATTTATTAAATCAATTATAATGACAATGACAGGATATCATTAAAAATCTTCTTTCTGAGCCCAGTGTGGTGGCGCATGCCTTTCTTTAATTTGTGCACTTGGAAGTCAGAGGCAGGTGGATCTGTTAGTCCAGGGCCAGTCTGGCCTACAACATAGCAAGTTCTAGGCCAGGTTAAGATACTGTCTCAAAAAAACCCAGAAGATCTTTTTGGCATTTACTATGAGAAGAAAACTTACATTAGGTTGTCTTCATTAAAGTCTGGCTGAAGAGTCTCCAGAGGAAACAAAGATCCAAATCCAATGCCCATGTTTAAAAACACAGCTGCTATATCAGACAACGATGGGATCCAGGGCCAAACTGGTGAATCACTGAAAGTATCTGCTTAACACAAGAAATTATTTTATTTGAACCACTCATACACAAAGTGGCAGTCAGTCTGTGAGGCAGATTACGATCATTATTTCCGCCTTTCATTTTTTTTTTTTGAGACAAGAGTCTCACTATACAGCCTATGCTAGGATTATAGGCACATGCCACCATACTTGGCTTTTATCACAATGACTTCAAAGAAATGCTAGCTGCTAATGGTATGTTAACAACATAGTTAAGGTACATCAAAGAAAGCATAATTTACCAGATTGTGTGAACTAAATAACACAAGGAAAATATCTGAGTGATCCACTAGAGTGTAAGTCATAAAGAAATAACCACGTTATGAGATGATTACAACAGTGGTTAAAATCCTAACTACCATTTACACTGGAAGACTTTCTCATCTTAAGTGGCCTTATAGTCTTCATCCCTCAAATAAGTGATTGGCTAAATCACGATGCTTCTTGTAGTAAAAGGGCCTTCAAAGGTGAGAAAGCAACACTCATACAATAAATAGTTTCAATCTGCCTTAATGCACTATTAACACAATACTGTTGTTAAATCATAAGCAAATTTATATCAGCTAGTTAAATCTGAGCCCAGAGGTATATACTTGTAATCCTAGCACTTAGAAGGCTGAGGGAAGAGTTCAAGGCCAGTTCAGCTTACAAAGTTAGTTTCAGATAGCCTAAGCTACATGACTCAATAACTAAGCTTAAATCATAATTTTAATTGGGTGATTTAATGCATGAATAAGCTTTCAAATATTTCTACTGACCCTGTAAAATAACTCCTGTGTTAAATATTAAGGGTTGTCATCTGTAAGATCTGAGAGCTTCTTTCTCAAAGAACAGAAAATTAGACACTTGTTTTTGATTGGTATTTCATTTCTTTTTCAAAGATAAGCAATTATGGGGCTGGAGAGATGGATCAGTGGTTAAGATCACTGACTGCTCTTCTAGAGGACCCAGGTTCAATTCTGAGCACCCACATGGCAGCTCACAACTGTCAATAATTTCAGTTCCAGAAGACACGAAACTCATGGCAAAACACTAATGCACATAAAATAAAAATAAATTAATTTTACAGCTAGGGATATAGGTCAGGTAGAGTGCTTATTTAGCATTCATGAAGCCCCATGTTTAATATCCAGTACCAGCAAAAAAATCAAAACCAAAAACACAATTCTAACATTAAGCAATATGAAAGAGATCATGAAATAAGTAACAGCACACACTACAAATCAGTTTATGTACTCACCATTTCTAATGGTGATCTCCATCAAAGTACTTAAAATCTGTACCGACACAATACAATTTGTGTGAACTGACATCATCTGTCAAAGACATAAATAACAAAGTGTTAGAAAGAAAGAAAAAATGAGTTTAGTTTGCTAGGCTTATATGAAGCTATTTTAAGTTTGGTTGTTAGTATTCAGACATCTGTATATAGGCCTATCCTTGGGGTTCTAACAGGGTATACCCACAGCTGCAGTCCCTAAGAGCACCACGTGTGAAAACTCACTATGTTCCCTTTTATAAGGGCCCTGCCACCTCCCATCCTTCTCTCTTTTTTTCTCTGCCTCTGTCTTTCTTCCTCTTTCCTCTCTCCTGCTGCTCCTGTCTCTGGAGGTTGGTCTCCTCCCTCCCATTTCCCCTTTTCATGATCCCTTTCCCTAATAAAAAAACTCTCTGCTTGAACCCTGTCCCATGGTGTCTTCTCGCGCCGCTTCTCTTAACTTACAACGATAGTGATACAGAGAATGTTCTCAATCCTAGCTCTTTAGGAGGCTAAGATAGGATGTGAGTCCAGCCCGGGTAAAGCAGTGACATCCCACTTCCAAAACAGTTTCATGTGCACTTTACTTAACACAATAACCTAGGAAGGGTTTTCATTATATTTATAAACAAACTGACCAATACCTTACTAATGGGACATATATTTATTAATAGAAACAAAGGAGTTGGAGCCAAACACAGGTCTAGTCTCAGTTCAGGCCTCTTTCTAACAGGCTATTTGGTTTCTGGTGTTTGTTTTTATTTCTGTAACTTTTATTTGTAGTTAGATAAGTAACACCTGAAACTATAAAGTTACTTTTCTATGATGTAGCACCACTCCTGAACTATATACAATGGAAGGACTGGGAGACTTAGTTGTCAAAGTGTTGAAGAACAACTGTGAAGACATGAGATATCCACGTAAAACCCAAGAACGACTGGGTGTGGTGGTGCACACCTTTAACTCCAGAACTTGGAAGGCACAGACAGGCAGATCCCTTCTGAGTTTGAAGTCACCCTGGTCTACAAAGAGTTTCATACATTTAGGGCTATATGTAGTGAGACCTCATCTCAAAACACAAGCAAACCCAAATATGGTGTTGTACATTAGGATTTTTTGTATTTTGTTTGTTACTTTTATGTGTATGCGTGTTCTGCCTGGTTATATTGTCTGAATATAACAATTCCCATGGAGGCCAGAGGACATCAGATCCTCCGGGACTGGAGTTTAGATTGCTGCGAACTGCCCGGTAGGGCTGGGAATTTAACCTGGGTCCTTTAGAAGAGCAGCCACGGCTCTTTCCCACTGAGCCATCTCTCCAGCAGGGAGATATGCGTTTGAAATTCCCAGCTTTAGGTAAAGATACAAGGGTCCTTGGAGCTCACTGGCCAATCCAGTGAGCTCCAGTTTCAGTGAAAGACTGTCTCAAAAAATAAAGTGGGGAACAACTGAGGACACCCACGTCAACCCATAGCTAACACTTGAACGTGCACGCACACACGCGTACACATACAACATACCCTTTAACTCCCACCCCCGATAACCATAAAGAAAAAGACAGTTCCTAAGATGATCATTGGCAAAAATCACACAGGGCTGGGATTTAGTTTCGTTGGTAAAATGTTTTCTGTGCAAGAGGACCCGAGTTCAATCACCAGAACCTGTGGAAAATAAAAAGGCCAAGTGCCATGTTCTGTGCATTCAATCACAATGCTAGTGAGGCTTGCTGGCTGTGGTGGTGTGAATGACAATGGCCCCATAGGCTCACAGGGAGTGGCACTATTAGAAGGCACTGCCTGTTGGAGAGTGTGACACATGGGGTAGGCTCTAAGGTCACGGAAGCTCAAGCCAGGCCTGGTGTCACTCTCCCTGCCGCCTGCTGATCCACATGTACAATTCTCAGCTTCCTGCCAAGATAATGAACCAAATCTCTGAACTGTAAGCGAGCCCCAATTAAATGTTTTTCTTTATAAGTTTCTGTGGTCATGGTGTCTCTTCACAGCAATAAAACCCTAATGAAGACATTGTCCATGTAGCCTAGTTCCTTGTTCTCAAGAACAAAGTGGGTGGCACTTAAGGAACGACATCCAAGGTTGACGCCTAGCCTCTACATTTAAGCACAGCACATGACAAATTAGTAATTGAAGTTACAAATAAAATATACCCATCCATTTTTTTTTTTTGTTTTTGTTTTTTTTTCGAGACAGGGTTTCTCTGTGGCTTTGGAGGCTATCCTGGAACTCGCTCTGTAGACCAGGCTGGCCTGGAACTCACAGAGATCCGCCTGCCTCTGCCTCCCGAGTGCTGGGATTAAAGGCGTGCGCCACCAACACCCAGCCCCATCCATTTTTAATTAGGGGAGAGGACCTGGATCTGGGTCTTAAGTAGCCCCAGCTGGACTCAAGATAGCTGGGTATCTAAAATTGACCTTAAGTCTTGATCTTGTTTCTATCTATCTATCTCATGTAGCCACTTTCCAACTGTTCTTTTTAAGGGAAGAAGGATTTGTCTTGGCTTATGGTTTTAGGGTATCACCCTATCACAGCAGAGAAGGCACAGAAGCAGGACAGGTGCACTCATGAAACAGCATCCACTCATAGTTTATTTTTGAGACAGAGTTTCATGTTGTTCAGGCTCAAATTATCCTGGAGAGAGACCATAGCATCTCTCACTGAACCTGGAACACACTATTTCCCATAGATTGGGTAGTCAGCAAACCCTCCTCCAATTTACCGGCCTCTACTCTCCCTATGGCCTTGCTGTGATTATAGAGGTGTACAACTGTGCACAGCTTTCATGTGACTGCTGGGATCTGAACATAGTCCTCATGCTTGTGAAGGAAGCACTTTACTACCCACTAAGCCAACTAAGGCACCATTAAAAAGTTGTTCAGTTGTCACCAGAGACACAAGAAGAACAGTAACTATGTACTGGCTCCCTTCAAGGACAAGACAGCTGGGTGGTGGTAGAGCATGGCTTTAATCCCAGCACCTGGGAGGCAGAGGCAGGTAGATCTCTGAGTTTGAGGCCAGCCTGGTCTACAGAGCAAGTTCCAGCACGGACAGGACTACACAGAGAAACCCTGTCTCAAAAAATCAGAACCAAAAACCTCATTTACCACTTTCCATTAAAAAAACAACAAAAATCCCTTTCTTCTTATGCTTTCAATAGCTATCTTAGTCTGTTAAACTTCTATTCACAGTACTTGACTCGCATTGGTGGCACACGCCTTTAATCCCAGCACTCGGGAGGCAGAGACAGGCAGATCTCTGTGAGTTCGAGGACAACCTGGTCTACAGAGCGAGTTCCAGGACAGGCTCTAAAACAATACAGAGAAACCCTGTCTCGAAAAACCAAAAAATAAATAAATAAAAATAATGCTGTATCTTCCCCCTACATCTTCACATATGTGGTGATTTCAATGAGAGTTGCCCCATAGGCTCATAGGGAGTGGCACTATTAGGAAGTGTGGCCTTGTTGGAAGAAGCCTGTCACTGGGGGTGGGCTTGGAGGTTTCATATGATCTGGCCAGGCCCAGTGTCACTCTTCCTGCTGCCTGCCAACCCAGATACACGACACCCCCCTTCCTCTCTCTCTGTTTTTTGAGACAGGATTTCTCTGTGAAACAGTCCTGGCTATCCGAGAACTTACTCTGTAGACCAGGATGGTCTTGAACTCACAGAGATCTGCCTGCCTCTGAGTCCTGAGTATTGGGATGAAAGGTGTACACCACTACTGCCTGGCTTAGAATGCTCAATTACCACTCCCCATCATGACAATAATGGACTAAACCTCTGAACTGTAAGCCAGGCTCAATTAAATATTTTCCTTTATAAGAGTTGCTGTGGTCATGATGTCTCTTCACAGCAACAGAAACTCTTAACTAAGACAACATGTAACCGAATTTTCTGACACCAGTAATATCTGGGTCCTTTGCAAAAGTATTCATTGAGCTCTTAACTGCTGACTCATCCTCCCCAGCCCATCCATCCAATAACAGATAACGTAGATCTCTGAGTTGGAGACCGGATCTACCCAGTGAGTTCCAGGCCATGGAGGACTATATAATAAGACCATCTTTAAAAGAAGATAGGATTTCTAGGACAAGCCTTTTCTGTGTACGTACATGAAGGCATACACAGACCCCATTAAGTACAGGTCAACACTGGCTGTCTTCTTGTATGACTCTGACCTTCACTTATTGGAGGTGGACGAACAAATGCATGCCACGGCAAGCCAGTGGTCAGAGGACAACCTCTGCAGCCTGCTGTCTTCTACATAAGGGGTCCACAGACTCATCCTTACTGAATGAGACATTTTGCCCAGCCCATTTCATCTTACTTTTTGAGAAAGGATCTCTTGCTGAAGCTGGAGCTTATAGATTCAGCTAGAAGAGCTGCCATTCCTGGCTTGCAGACTGGTCCTTAGATTCTGAACTTAGATCCCTTGTGCAGGAAGATTTTATGTATTGAGACATCTCCCTTGCTGATAAGGCACAGTGTAAGATATCCTTTTAAACTTAAAAACTGTTTACTCCTATTATTTTCTGTATATCCACAATGTTATTAAAATAGAATACTCTAGTAGCCTGAGAATTATTTTTCCTTAACTGGGCATCATCTTAACCTGCTACAGCACTGAAAGCCCTAGCTTTGTCCTCCTAGCTTTGTCAAAATGCACTGTATTAAATTTTAAATTACTATCTGTTTCATATGTCAAGAGTAGTAACATATACATTGGTGCTCAACATATCTAGACAAACACCAAAACAATATATAAAATCAACATTGCTTAAATAAAACAAAAATGAAGAGATAGTTGGGCATGGTGGCACACGTCTTTAATCCTAGCACTCGAGAAGCAGAGGCAGGAGGATCTCTGTGAGCTTAAGGCCAGCCTGGTCTACCAAGTGAGTTCCAGAACAGCCAAGACTACACAGAGGAACCCTATCTCCCCCCCAAAAACAGGGGTGGGGGGAAGGAAGATACAGAAATGTATTTAAGTTAAATATGGACAGGGGAGATCAACAGTTGGGTTTGCATAAATACATGGGGGCTGCTGACATGGCTGAGTGGTTAAGAGTAGGAGCCTGCACTGCTCTTAAAGAATTGGAATTCAGTTCCTAGCACCCATGTCTGGTGACTCGTAGTCACCTATAATGCCAGCTCAACTTCAAGAGATCCCAGGCTTGGTGGCAAGCACCTTTACCCTTGAAGCATCCTACTAAACCCTACAAGTTTGTTGAGTAGGAAACACAGCAGGAACCCACTATAAGCCCCAAACATTTCTCTTACCCGAAACAGCCACTTTAACACAGGTACAGGACACTGGACGTAGTGGTATGCAGAGGTAAGGAAGCCTTGTGTTGTCAAAAAGATCTGATCTGTTTTTCCTGATCTGAAAACAGAAGATCAATGATTGTTACCCATGGCAAAACACTTCTAGCACCAACACATTTGACATAATCAGAGAAATGAGTAAGCAAATCTCAGTTCATAGAGATAGATTCCATACTAACATAGAAGAGGTTTATATATAGAATCAATTAGTGGCTTAGCTGACTCAGTCGATGAGTTCCACATTTTTCTGTGGACAAAGGTACATGTGCATGTAGCACTCAGAGTTTACCAAGTCCCAGGACATGGGCTTTTGTCAGTTCAGGGATGAACTCCCTAAAAGTCAGCACGAGAATCCAAAATGTTTTCTAGACCTGGAATGCCACACACTGAGAACAAACATCCTAGTCTAGGCATTGAGCTGATCCTAAGAGCTGTCATTCCCCCACCCCAATATCTGTGTTTTGTCTTCTCAATGGTACCTAAGTTCTGAAATGTGGCTGGGCAAAATCACTTGCTATGTACAGCACTGCTAACTCAATGAGCAGAAATCAAGCACAGGTTGTATGTGTTTTCTGGGAATCTGAACAGAAAGCTGACACTATTAAGCAGTAAGATACTATAAATGGAGAAAAAACATGGCAAAAACAATACACCAGTGCCAGGACTTCCTAGGCATGAAGTAACACAAATCTGGTTAAGCTCCTGTTATTTTGACAGCCACTGTTATTACTCTTATCAGCACTGATCCTTTCTTTTGTGGTACTGGGAATATGTTTTTGGAGACACAGTATTGCTCCATAGCTCAGGGTGACTTCAAACGTGCAATCTTCCTGCCGCTTGTAAACTGCATGGCTAGATTTTACAAACTCATTTCCCCCCTTTGAGATAGTATCTCCTGTAGCCCAGACAGACCAAAAACTGGCAATGTAGATGAACACCACTTGGAACTTCTCATTTTTCACTTTTATCAACCAAGTGCTGGGACTGCAGGCATATATTACTACTTCTGATTTATGTGGTGCTAAAGATCAAACCCAGTATATGCTGTATATGTTACATAATCACTCTACCAAATGAGCTTACATTCCCAGCTATTACACATTGATCTTAATCCTAGTCAATAAAAAAAGTAACAGATGTACCATGGCTGAAGCTTTCGTTTTACTTCTAGAACTGTAAACAAACAAACAAAAAATCCATGTTGATGTGATGGTAATACCAGCACCCAGAAGGCATAGGCAGGCTCTTTTACTAGTCCCCAACTGAAGCTTTTAAGAGCAACTTTTTAAAAAAGATTTTAGTTCATGTGTATGGGTGTTTTGTCTCTGTGATGGTTATTCTTAGCTGTCAACTTGACTACATCTAGAATTAACTAAAACCCTCAAATTCAGAGATCCACCTGCCTCCCGAGTACTGGGATTAAAGGTGTGCACAACAAGTATAATTAATCAATGAGCCATTTCTTCAGCCCTTAGAATATTTTTTCATACAGAAAAAACCCACATGTTTATGATTTACTTACTTGAGAATAAGCTTTTCCACAGCACTGTCTCCAATAAAACCAGAGTCTCTTAAATCTAAGGTATATTGATTGAAAATTTTTCCAGAATCAAGGAAATTAAATATTTCTTCACCTGGATGATGATCAGGAATAGCATCAATTGTAACTGAAAATTTCTTTAGAAATTCCCTGAAACATAAAGACGATTGAATATCAAAAAGTTAGGATACAAATGGTTTTGTACTTAAAGATGAAGGCTATGGGTGTTGGTGGCGCACGTCTTTAATCCCAGCACCTGGGAGGCAGAGGCAGGCGGATCTCTGTGAGTTCAAGACCAGCCTGGTCCAAAACAATACAGAGAAACTCTGTCTCGAAAAACCAAAAAACAAAAACAAAAAACTTAAAGATGAAGGCAGTCAGCCAGGAAGTGGTGATGCATGCCTGCGATTCCAGCACTTTGTGAGTTCAAGGTCATTCTGGTCTACAAACTGAGTTCCAGGATAGCCAGGGATATACAGAGAAGCCCTGTCTCGATAAGAATGTTTTGCCCTCCTCCTTAAAGCTTGTGGCGGCACAAACCTTTAGTACCAGCACCAGGGAGGCAGAGACAGGAGGATCTCTGTGAGTTCGAGGCCAGCCTGGTCTACAGAGCTAGTAGGACAGTCAGGGCTAAATAAGAAACCCTGTCTTGAAAACCTAAAAACAAAACAAAACAAAAACCCCAAACAACAACAAAAAACAAAAGACACTGAGTCTCTCAGTGTGAAGACTTATGTACTGTTTTTTGTTTTGTTTTCTTTTTTCTTTTCAAGACAGGGTTAAGTCTGTGTAGGTTTGGCTGTCCTGGAACTCGCTCTGTAGATCAGGCTGACCTCTAATTTAGAAATCTGAGATCTGCCTGCCTCTGCCTCTCAAGTGCCGGAATTAAAGGCTTGTGCCACCACTGTCCTGAGTACCTTGGTTTTAATGTTTGCCTTTCAACAAAACTTAAGTGTATATCAGTCACTGGGCAACCAGTTATCAGTGGCCCAGATGTTTTCTAAAAATCAAATTTAAAAAATGGTAACTAGTGCCGGACGGTGGTGGCACACGCCTTTAATCCCAGCACTCGGGAGGCACAGGCAGGCGGATCTCTGTGAGCTCGAGGCCGGGCTGGACCGACAGCCTCCAAAACAATACAGAGAAACCCTGTCTCGTAAAACCAAAAAAAAAAAAAAAAAAAAAAAAGATAAATAAATAAATAAATAAAATAAAACCAAAAAAGGTAACTAGTACCACAAGCTTATAGATGGTGTGAAAAAACACTACCTGTGTTCTTCCAAGAGGCCATCCTCATCATCTGTACTGTCCTGGTCACCAATTCTGATAGGAGATTTAATGCCTCTGCCTTGTCTTATATCTTCCTGTAGTTGCTTCTGTAGTTCATCTAGTCTGAAAATTGAAAGAATGTCGTAATACATTACTTACATTTATTTATTTTTAAGACAGGTTCTCTCCATGTAGTCTTAGAACTCTCTATATAGATCAGCCTGGTTTCAAATTCAACAGAGGGTCACCTGCCTCTGTCTCCCGAGTGTTGGGAGTATAAGCATACACACCAGACCAGGCTTATTATTCATTTTAAAAACAGAATCGGGTGCCTTGTCTATAGAGCTAGTTCTAGGACAGCCAAAGTGTACAGAAAGAAACCCTGTATCAAAAACAACCAGCCAACCAACCAGCCAACCAACCGTCCCTACGAACAAATAAAAAACCCCAACAGAAACCCAGACAGCTTTAGCTGTTATCTAAAAGCAGTCCCAAGGAAAACTCTCACTATATAGTCTATTTTAAACAAACTCTGTTAGAATACAGGGTCAATCATATCTTGACAATACGTTCTGCTCTTTTTTTTTAATTCTATTTTACGGGTATTTGTTCTGCCTACATGCATCTCTGTGAACCATGTGCCAGCACCGCCCATAGAGGCCAGGAGAGGGTGTTGCATCTCCTAGCACTGGAGTCACAGATGGTTGTGAGCCTTCATGTGGGTGTTGGGAATCAAACTTGGGTCCTCTGGAAGAACAACCAGTACTCTTACTCACTGAGCCACCTTTCTAGACCCTTGAATATTTCTTTACAGTTAGAAATTTAAGAATGATCTTTCTAAACCAGAGAACAGAAAAAGAAAAATGGTAAATGATCAAATTTGATTATCTTCTCACAGACATTTTGTAGATCAACATCCTGAAGCTAATTAGGTTTTTGTTTTCATCACGGTCATCCGATTATTATCACCACCACATCTAACACTGAGCACTTACTATGGCACACCCAACCACAAACTCTTGTCGAGACTAAAAGAAAATAAGCCATCAATAAACTCACTGTTTTATCACTACTGATCACACCAAATGTTACTTCTGTCTTTGGTCTGAGAAAGATGTTATCCCTATTAACCAGTGTGTTTGTATCCTACAATGGCCTACTTGAGATGTTCCTGCCTCCACTTATGTGTTGAGATTACTAGTGTGTATCACATGTAGCAATGATTAATTTTAAACAACTTCTCTAAATCCAGAGGGAAAAAATTTTAACCTTAATGTCTGAAAATTTTCTATAGCTATGTTTAACAACTTTGAGATTTGTATATACTAACTTTTATGTAATCCAGTCAGCTAAACTTACTTTTAAAGTGACTTAGAATTTATTTTGAAAGTAGGAGTGGTGACATATGCCTTTAATCCCAGCATTCAAATCTCTATGAGTTCAAGGCCACTAAGCCATCTCACATACTCCAGTTAGCTAAACTTTAAATGAAGTTTTCTGGGCTAGTTTCATAGGTAGTCTTTGAATAAATAAGGCATGTTTTTCTCATTAGTAATAAATCTGTAACTAGTCACATAATTTTTTATTTGTGTGCCCTGTGTGTGTTTCCATAGAGGCCAGAAGAAGGTACTGGAGCTCCTGGAAGTGGTTGTGAGGAAACAAAATCAGGCCTTTGGAAGAACAGCAAGTGTTTTTAGCCAGTGAGCCATGTCTCCAGGCCCACTGCTTAAAACTTTTATTTTTTAATTTTTAAACTTATATGTAAGCCAGTTACATGCCTTGAATCCTTGCATCCAGAAGGCAGAAGCAGGCAGATGTCTGTGAGTTCCAGGACAGCCAGATCTACATAGTGACACCCTATCTCAAAACACCAAAACCAACCAACCAAAATTAGATTTACTTGCTATATGAATGTGCATGTGTACATACATACTAGGTATGTGTAGGTCAGGTGGTAACTCAAGAGTCAATTCTCACCTTTCATTATTTGAGTCTTAGGATTGAAGTCTGGATGTCAAGGGGAAAGTGCTTTTGCTCAATGAACCATCTCACTGGCCATTTATTTATTGAGATAGACATTCAACTCTTCCTGCCTCAGTATCCCAAATTCTTGAATTACACCAATTGCCACTATATTCAGCTAGTCACATAAATTTCATTAGGGAAATTATGACCCTCAGGGTTTTTTTAAATTCTGATTTTTTTGACTGTCAGTGTATAAAGTGGACTGCTTATCATTTTGAACTATTCTTCCAAAGAGTAACATGATTTAGGAATACGTGAGCAGTCATTTTGGTCATCAGTCTATGGTCATCAGTTTTGAAACTTGTACTTAATGTTAGGCGTGGTGGTACACACCTGTAATCCCAGAATTTGGGGATTTCTGTCTTTGGGGACAGCCAGGGCAACATAGTGAGATCATGTCTAACTAAGCAAATAACCATTCCCCCAACCCAAGAAAACAGTAACAAGCTGGGCATGGTGGCACACACCTTTAATCTCAGCACTCGGGAGGCAAAGGCAGGAGGATCTCTATGAGCTGGAGACCAGCCTGGTGTATAAGAGCTAGTTCCAAGACAGCCTCCAAAACCACAGAGAAACCCTGTCTCGAAAAACAAAAAAAGAAAACAGTAACAAAAATGCTTGATATTGGTAAACATGAAAAAATTTTTTTGTTTTGTTTTATTTTAAAAATGTTTATTTCTGCAGGGTAGTGATAGCATGCACAGCCAGAGCTACAGAGAAACTCTGTCTCTAGAAAACCAAAACCAAAACCAACCAACCAAAAAAAAGTAATGATTATTTCTCTAAGTGGAATCAATTTATTTATAACAAAGGATGGTTCCTTACTAAGAGTAGTTTCTATACAAACTATGTGAAAATTGTGTTTTCTCAGAGTTAAAAGCTGCTTTTTTTATTTTTCAAGACACAGTTTCTCTATGCAACAGCCCTGGCTATCCTGGAACTCACTTTTGTAGACCAGGCTGGCCTTGAACTCACAGAGATCCACCTGACTCCGCCTCCAGAGCACTGGGATTAAAGGCATGCACTACCACCACCTGGCAAATATTGCTAATTTTTAAAAAAATATGGAAAGCTTCATAAATCTGAAAGTCATCCTTGCACAGGAGTCATGCAAATCTTCTCTGTATTGTTCCAATTTTAGTTTATGTGTTGCTGAAGTAAGCACAACATAAAATATTCTAAGAAAAGGCCCTCCTGCCAGGCGTTGGTGGCGCACGCCTTTAATCCCAGCACTCGGGAGGCAGAGGCAGGCGGATCTCTGTGAGTTCGAGGCCAGCCTGGTCTACAAAGTGAGTTCAAGGACAGCCTCCAAAGCTACAGAGAAACCCTGTCTCGAAAAAACCAAAAAAAAAGAAAAAAAAAAAGAAAAAAAAGAAAAGGCCCTCCTATCTTTGTGCCAACAATAAAAACAGGTAAAGGCTCTGAACAGACATTACTCCAAAATTATGAAAAGCCTTAGAACACAAAAATATATTTAAAATGTCAATCAAAAAACCATCCCATGCCCTTTAAGAAGGCTAGTACAAAAGGAAAAAAGGGAGAGAGAAAAATAACAAGTGCTGGAGAAAATGTGGAGAAAAGAAATCCTCATGCATTGCCTGCTGGTGGCCATATATCACCTCATGATTCACTAAGTCTGTGTGTGGGTATATACCCAAAATAACCAAAAGGGGGGACTGAAGATATATATACACACACAATCATAGCATTTTCCCCACAACAGCCACAAAGTGAGCACTGCCCAAGTGGCCATTAATGGACAAATGAACAAAATGTGGCATGTATGTAGGACAGGAAATTCTGACCCAGTCTTCACTACAAACAAGACATTATGCTAAGTACAATACTCCTGAGCTAACAAGGAAACTACTAAATAATACCACGTGGCACATCCAGAATAGTCAACTGCATAGAAACAGTAAGAAAAGTAAAAATGGTGGTTTGCCAAAGGCAGGGAGGAAGAGCAAGAGGGTAATAGGCATGGAGTTTCCTTTTGAGAAGATGAAGACTGTTCTGGAACTAGGTGGTGGTGATGACTAGGTGGTGATGATGATGGCTATACTGATGCTAGTGTACAAACATAAAATGAGATATTCAAAATAAAATCTAGGGCTGTGAGTACAGCACTGGCTTCACAAGCATCAGGATCTGAGCTTGAACTCTCAGAACCCACACAAAAGCCAGAACCCAATAGGCAGAGTCAGAGACAGACAGAAGTTTGTAAATTTGAGGCCTGCTAGGGCTACACGGTGAGATTCTTTATTTCAAAGAAAGGGCAATGGATACACAGATCAAGTGTCTGTAACCCAGTACTCCTATAGGGAGATGGGAGGCAGAGACAGGAGTCTCCCTGAAGCTCATGGGTCCGCTAGCTTGGCATACACAGCACTGACGAGACTGTCCCAAGAGCTTTACATACATGCTACAGCAAACATGCACTAGCACTCTCATGCATGAACTATGCACATACACAATAAAAATAAATTCTACCCATGCTTTTCATCAAGGATATCAGTTAAGATACTGTTATAACCAGCAGAAAGGAATTTATAATAATGCAACACAAGTCTACTGTAAAACCCTGTCTTCTGAAAACTCAGGAATCAGAAAGCGCGTTTCATTTCTACAGTTACAAGAGAATTGTAATAATGGTGCTCCTACAGTGCACGTTAACTCTAGTTCCCTTGGGATCTCAGGTGCTGGAGACTGGAGGAGGGGCTTTGCACTTGCTTGGAAGTCACTTTACCACTGAGCTAAATCCCCAGACCCACATACACTAATTGATCATATTCTGAGTCAGATCAAAAGTCAACCACATGAACAAAGCAGTTTGTTAAATTTAACAGATTATGAGTTTAACCAACCTTTGTGTGTCTTCCATCTCCTTTACAAGACGCTCTAAAGTATTTGTATAAGTTCCACTCTGAGCATATTCCTAAAACAAAAAGAAAGTTTGAAAAATACTTTATAACTTATCTTAGTAGAAGAACTGGGAAATTAAGTTATTCAGAGTACTAATGACTATTTTCTGTCAGTAACCTGGGTCTGGATGATACCCTTCTTAAAGGAAAAATTTCACCATCATGCTTTAAATCTAGCATTCTATGCTGCAGGCAATTTTATCCTAACATCCATTAGGAGGGACACTGCCTGTAAAACCCTGCTAACCTCAGGATCTGTTCCAAGTGCAAACACCCAAGGGCTCTGTGGTGTCCCTATCTTTGCTTCTGCATTCTAGTTTAGTGAAATCAAACTACAACTAATTTTTAGGTGTTACCATGGAATATTATACCTTCCCCACCAAACTTTACAGAAATCGTAAAATTAATACAGTTTACTCCCAAGATAGAATGAAGCACTTTATAAATAAAATTGCACACCACAATTAACAACATTTCTACACTCTACCTTCATTTACAGCAGTGGTCTCCAAAGCAGGGGGTGTGCAAGGTGATCCATTGGGGTGCAGGAAGAAAATAATAGAACTTCTATTTATATGGAACTTCTATAGGAACTCCAGAAGAACTTAATCTATAGTAACGTCTATGTAACTGCCACAGGAAAATACTTAATTTCTCTTTTTCCTTCTAAATTGTTTTTGTATATACTTTATTTCAAAAGTACACAGTATTATAGTGGTACATGTATAGAATCTATAAGTTGCATATATATTGGGGTACATGCTTAAAGTTTCCTTTTAATAAAAAAGTACATGTGATCAAAAAAGTTTGGAGACCACTGATTTACAATAATAAAACTGAAGATATGGGGAACTCATTTACCAAAAGAGAAATTGACACCCACGTTAGTCAGTCCAATGATGATCTGTAGTGGTAAACACTGAATTTAAAGTTAATCTATCTTCTTTAATTAATCCATCTTTTCCCCGTCAAGTGAAGACAAACTAACACAGAACTACTTACTATGTAGTCTGATGACTGGGATTTAAGCCCCTTGGAAATGGCAGGAGGCTTTCCTGAAGCTGTAGGAGTCTGGTTGAAATTCAAAGCCATTATTTCTTCCAGTGATTTTAATGTTTCCTCTTCCTCATCACTCTCTAAGTTGTAACCTAAACTTTCTTCATCGCTATCAAAATCACCCCTGAATTTCCTTTTCAGTGCACTGCTACCTGCATTGGAATTTCCTGAACACTCTTTATCTGAAGGTGCTGCAGGGCTTGGGACACACGGCACAACTTCCGAGGCAGCTGGAGGAGACTCTGTAGGAGGGCTGTACTCTGAATGCAAAGATCCCCCAGAACTTTTCCCTGAAGATTCATTAGAAACAGCCTTAATAGTCTTTGCTTTGTGTTCCTTGTGTTTGGAGGATTCTGTAGAATGCCCAGAACGTTCTTTAGAGGAGGAACGCTCTTTATCTTTTTTAGGAACTGGAAGAGTGCAATTTTTAGCATTTAATGGTACTCGAGAGGAAACAGCACTTGGAACATGGGAAAGTAAAGGTAGTTTTGTCTCTTTTGATGTCATAGAGCCAGCCGGTTTACTTCTCTGAAGGTTGCTAGCTCTTTTAATTGTAGATTTTTCCTGAGGTAAAGGTAAGTGGGGTTTCTGTATTTTAGTCTCTTTGGTACTTGCTGCGTGGACTTGGTCACTATTCCTGGAAGAATGGTGGCCAGAATTTGAAGGTGCCAAGTCTGCAGAAGAACGATCTCTTTCATCATCAGGTTCCTTGGCTATGTCTTCCAAGCGCAGAACACCACCGGGTGTCTTCAGTGCAATGTGTCTTATAAACTTTTCTCTCTGATGTGATGTGTCTGGACGCTTCTCTAGGAAGGACTCTTTTGCTTTTGGTATGATAGATTCTTTTGTGCTTTTCAGATCTGAGTCCACAGAGTTCCTTTTTCTTTTGTCGGAGAATTTATTCTGCTTAGAGCCTAAAATTAATTTTTGTCACATCAGTGAAAAGTATACTGTTCTGTCTGTCTCAAGCTTATTTACAGAACACTCTGATGAAATGCTTAAATTCTAAGTTTAGGCTGAGATTATTCAATATACATATAAGATGAAGAAAGAGAACTGACAGTGATATCCAAGACATTTAGAGCTAACGACATGTGCTTATTTTACTAATAATCTACTAGGTTACTATCTTACCAAGGTATCAATCACTCCTTAAACTTAAGACCTTGTACACTGGTCCTAATAAAGGGATTCTAGAGTACTTCTGCTCAAAGTGAATTTTCTTTTCAAGCCCCAAACCACCTAGTTATAAAAGAAATGAAATACTTCTATTATCTAAAGGTGTGGGGGTTTTAGACTATAAGCAGATACAGGATTAAAAGACAGATAAATAAGTTATTTAAAAATAAATTCAATGGGTGTGGTGATACATGCCTTTAATCCCCACACCTGAGAGACAGAGGCAAGGGGATCTTTGGAATTTGAAAGCTTGGCCTACATAGAGTTCCAGGACAACCAAAACTACACAGAGAGACCATGTCTCAAAAAAAGGAGAAAAAAAAAAAAGGCAAAAAACAAATTCTATCTTGCCTTGTGGTGCATACCTATAATCCCAGTGGCAGGAGGATCATGAATACAAGGTCAGTCTGGGCTATAATGGGGTGGGGGCATTGGACAACCCTGTCTCAAAAAAAAAAAAAAAAGAAAAAGAAAACACCAAAACAAAAACTAAGCCAATAAGTAAATAGACTCATCTAGTGATTACTGTGAATTCTTAAATGTTCCTCTACTTTTCAGCTGTCACAGGTTGAACTGTGTCTTCCCAAATATGGTCAACCGCTGACCTTTAGCTCTACAGGATGAGAACTTAACTGGAAACAGGGTCTTCACAGACATATCCGAATTAAAAAGGTCAATGTAAATGACCAGTTTCCTTATGATAATAAGAAATTTTGAGCCAAAGACAGGCATGCTAGAGGGAAGACACAATAAACACAAGATACCATGTAACTGACAGATGCAGTTATAAGTCAAGGCATGCAGAAGACTGCAAGCAAATGCCAGAAGCTGTAAAATGTAAAGGAGTTTTCCCCTAGAGTAATCAGAGGAGGGCCTTACCAATGTACTGACGTTAGACTTCAACTTTCTAGATCTCTGAGGTAATAATTTTTGTTGTTTTACTTTGTTACAGATGCCCGTGTTCATTAACTGCTGTAACCAGAAACACTTTTAACTATATATTTGCCTAGTGTTAGTAGTGCACGCCTTTAATCCCAGCACTCGGGAGGTAGAGGCAGGTGTATCTCTGTGACTTCAAGGCCAACCTGGTCTACAGAGCAAATTCCAGGACTTCACATAAAAACCCTGTCTTAAAAAAAAAAAAAAAAACCAACAACAAATACAGGAAGAGAAAATGACTGAGACAAGTTTGAGGTTGTTAAGCAGAGTATTTTAAGTATGATATTACAAAGACAATAACTACAGAGCTGGGTTTTGTTCCAGTATATTAGGAAGCCAGATCATTTATATATAGACAGAAGACAAAGTTTTTTTTTTTTTTTTTTGGTTTTTTGAGACAGGGTTTCTCTGTGGCTTTGGAAGCTGTCCTGGAACTCACTCTTGTAGACCAAGCTGGTCTCGAACTCACAGAGATCCACCTGCCTCTGCCTCCCGAATGTTGGGATTAGTGTGCACCACCACCGCCCGGCAGAGGACAAAGTCTTGATTTGGTCAGAAATATCTAGAAGCAAATAAAAATACTTTATGAAAATACTTTAGGACAAGTTAGATTACTAAGAGTTGTTACTATTTCAGCTAGGTCTAGTGGTCCATGCCTATGAGCAGAGTACACTGGAAACAGATGCAGAAAGATCTTGAATTTGAGACAGTATCTAGAAGAGGACTGAACTGGTACCTCAGGTAGGCTCCACTCTGGTGTGTGTACATACATGTGGAAGTCAGAGGTTGATGCCCATTGCTTTTGCTCTCTTCCTTGTTTCTAAGGCAGTCTTTCATTAAGTTGGCATCATCATTTTGGCTAGACTAGCTGATCAGTAAGCTCCTGGACATCTTTTTTTGCTCCCTGGGCAAAGGGATCACAGGCATGTCTCACTGACCCCAGCTTTTACATTGGTGCTGGGGATCCAGACTCAAGTTTTCATGCATGCATAGCAGGCATTTCACCCAGGGAGCTGTCCTTCCCAAGTCTGAAGTGCTCTTTTCTAAACTTTCTAGGAAGTAGAGGAGTTGAATTTTTCAGTTCTTTTTGTACTTCTTAGTCTACCAGGTGGATGGATATTTGTTTCATAGTACTTAAGAGATGGGCTGAGCTTGTATAATGTCAAAAAAAAAAAAACAACAAAAGAAAAAAGAAAAATCCAATGTCGATTAATTAAGGAGATGAGTCATGCCGAGTGTTGGTGGCTCATGCCTTTAATCCCAGCATTTGGGAAGCTGAGGCAGGCAAATCTCTGTGAATTCGAGGCCAGCCTGGTCGGTCTACAGAATGAGTGCCAGGAAGGCCTTCAAAACAATACAGAGAAACCCTGTCTCAGAAAAAAAAAAAAAAAGAGAGAAGAGTCATTAAATTATCAAATATGGCAGGACTTCAGGATGCAGCCAAAAGAAGCCTTTGAAAGGCCAAATCTGTATGTCTACTCTACCAACATTTAAAAACTTTTTAAGCTTGTAGCAACTAATAATAGTATACATTTACATATGTATACATCTCTACATTATCACATTTGAGTGTAACAGTAGTTAACATATGCATTGTGTGTGTATGTTCAGATGTGCAAACCACACATGCACTCAGGCACAAGGCTTTATGTAGGCGTGTATGGATGTATATGCCCAAGTGTGCAAAGGGGCTCAGAGGCCAACACTGGGTATACTCAATCAATCTTTCCTTTTTGAGACAGGGTCTCTTATTGTTCCTCAATTCAGCAAAACTAGCTGTTTTAGGCAAGCCCCAGGGATCATCCTGCCTCCCAGCACTGAGATTATAGGTGAGCATTGCCATGTCAGGTTTTTACACACAGAAACTAGAAACCTGAATTGCAGTCCTTGGGCAACAAGCTACATCAAGTAAGCATCTCTCTAGCCCCTTTTTGTTTTCTGAGATAGGTTTGTGAAATTGCTTCAACATTCTAGGTGCTGCGATTATAGGTATAGCTCCATTTTTAATATTACATACAATGACACAAGGAACACAGTGAGTTTCCTGAATATATCTTCCTGAATGTAGGAACTATCTATACTGTTCATTTTTCAAAGTTTTAAGTTATGGCAGAAAAAACTAGAGGCTTCTTCTTTCTCAGGAGTAAGTTTCTGCAGTGTTACATTTTTTAGTACTATAATTCTGGATTGCTACTTTAAATCTTTTTATACATGGCTGTCACCTCAAGTAGCTTCAGATCTTTCTGAAAGCAAAAGAGATTGAACATATGCATGGTGCTTTCCAGACTCCCGTACAACACTAAAACAGGTTCTATTAGGCTCACTTTTAGTGTTTAAATTTTAATGTTCTATTTTTCTATTTGTAAGAAAAGATACTTTAAGCTGGGCGGTGGTGGCACAGGTCTTTAATCCTAGTACTTGGGAGGCAGAGGCAGGCGCAGCTCTGTTGAGGGCTTGCCCAGTATCAGAGTAGATCAGGCCAGTCTGATCTACAAAGCTACACAGAGAAAGCCTGTCTTGAAAAATCCAAAAATAAAAGAAAAGATACTTTAAAGAACTCCTGAGTTAGGTGGTCATGGTAGCTCATGCCTTTAATTCCAGACTGGAGAGGCAGAGGCAGGTGTACCTCTGTGAGTTTGAGGCCAGCTTGATCTACAGTGTTCCAGGACAGCTAAGACTATATAAAGGCTCAAAAAACAAAACAGAAACACCAAACCACCAAAACAAACAAATGAGTTCCTGAGTTAACAGTAACTATTTATAATGTATCTTCTCAATGAACAAGCATTAAAGTATTAATATCTTGCAGATGTCCTTGAGATGTTACATTAGAAAGGCATCTTTGTATTTGGAATATTTGAATCTTGTTTAACTTCATAAAAAGCATTTTTAACAGTACACCAAGAATACAAGTATATGATGCTGCTCATTTGTTCTGGGAGAGCATCCCATTGTTGCACAAGCTAGCTCCAAACTTGCAATCCTCCTCCCTCAGTGCTAGAATCACACGTATCTGCCATCATGCCTAACATCAAAATTATGTTTCTTGGTGTAGCTAAGGATTCAGAAGTGAAACTCTCAATATCAGTATAAAGAACACACTGTTAAAACATACAATTAGGAACTCCTGAAGAAGGCAGAGAGAAATCAAGACAACAGATTATGAAGAATAAATTCAAGTACTTTTTTTTTTAGGTCAGGGTTTACTCAATGTAGTTCAGGCTGACTTTAAACTCTAGATCCTCCTGTGTGCCACCATACCTCGCTCTGAATATTATTCTTTGGGGATATAATTTTACCAAACTCTTATTATCTGAGACATTTAATTCTAAGATGGAAACTGAATATGAATAAATTTATTTTAAAAAGTGCTATGAAGAAGATGCAAACTTACTTAGAAACTGTATGTTTAAATCTGATGCCACCTACCTGAAAGTTCCCAAGAGTCTGAAGATGATCTTTTTCTTGAGAGGTGTCCATTTTCCTATGAGGAAGTAAAGAATATGAATTTACATTTGAACAGACTTTTAGACCAATAAAGTAAGCACCTAGATTCAGAGGTAGCTTTAAAAAAGAAAGAAAGAAAAGACACTTTAAAGATCTTCAAATGAAGGGTATGGGCTGGAGATGCAGCTCAGTGGTACAGTGCTTGTCTAGACACACAAGGCCTGAATGCAATATCTAGCACTAGGGAAACATACACACAGCCACCTGTACCAAAAAAACCCACAAAAGAAAAAAAAACCCACAAAAATGAAGTCTATGTTTCACAAGCTAACAGTAATTTATATTCATAACTCAAAAACTAATACAATAGTTGAAGACTGTTAGTCTATGGACCAAATATTACATCTATTGATCATCAGCAACATTAGTAGTAAAAGGACAATCTCATTGCAAAGAGGCTTCTAAATTTACAAATACCTTCCAGTAATACACAATGCTAAGATTTCTTTATATTCACTCCTAGAATGTTCAGGTTTTGGTTTATCTGATTTGAAATTTTCATAGCAGCTTATCAACACCGCACTTCTTTGCAGTGTTGGGGACTTAACCCAGGGCCTCTCTCATACTGGGCAAGCCCTCCACAGAGCTGTATTCCCAATTCTACACTGTTTGTTTTTGAGACAGGATTGGGTTATGTATGACAGCGTAGTTAACTTTCTAGGGAAGAGGGAAAGCTTTGATGATAGAACTAAAAAATAAATGCAGTTTTCTAAGTCATCAGTTATGTTTCCAAGACCCACACTCAAACAAGTCGTAGATAATTATCTAAGATTTGTATATGGGGCTGGAGAAATAGTTCGGCAGTTCAAAGTTCTTGTGCTCTTGCACAACTTTGAGTTCTTAGCAAACACATCAGGCAGCTCACAACCACCTGTAACTCCAACTCCAGGGGATCAGATGGCTTCTACACATACAGGGCCAAATAAAATAAATCAAAGATGTATATATATCTGGAACAGTGATTCTCGAAGTTTTAGAGTGCATCAATTACCTGTAGGACTCCAACTCCACTGTTTCTCACTAGGAGACTGCATTTCTGACAAATTCCCAAGTGCTGCTGATGCTACTACTGCTCTGAGGACATTTTAAGAACCACTGCTCTAAGTTGTTTCCTGTCCTTTTGCATTTGCCATTCCTTAAGCACCTCCTTTTGGAAATCTTAACTTTAAAAATGACTATAATTGCCTGAAAGAATGCTTACTTTCCTTTAGAAAAAGATCTATGCTCCTGGTCTGAAAAAGTTAAGGAAAAGAAATTTACTGAATTCAATGGAGGAAACCTAATGAAACCAGTGTCAGCCCAAATTATACACTGGCATTTCCTTAAAAGCTATAGATTAGTATCACTAGACTTAGGATCTAACCGTGGTTAATAGTGATAAAGCTAACTACTTTTATTATTGTACATACCAGATTTGAAAGATTACTCTTTCCAGGTACAGCATCATTCTGCTTACTGTGTTCATGCCTTGGTTTACATTTTTTCCCTATACTAGATGATTTTAAGGAAAGATTGCTTGTTTCTGAGAAAGAATTTTCTGAGTTGATTCTCTGTTCCATTTGTTCCTTTCTCAACTTCTTCTGCTCTCGTTCTCGGCAGTAAGAAGCTAATGACAACTGGAACCTAGCTCCCAGTGGGCTTTCTCCTGGGTGGTGCCGGGATAGGCTGCTTCTGCTACTAACACTTCTGGAACTGTTCTTGAAGATGTCACCTTCTGTCGCTGGGGCATGCTTTCTGGAGTCTTCACTGGTCTTGCCTCGATCTCTGTCATTCTTCTCCCTGTTACTTTCATGAATGAACAGTGACTTCCTTCTCTCTGGAGACCTGTGTTTTTTCTTCCGTGTCTTCACCTCTTTGGGCAATCGGTAAGAGGAAGGAGCATAGATACCTGTTTCTTGGAGTAAGTATTTGGAGCCGACTGACATACAAGGCCGCCGTGATTCATGTACACCATGATCTTTGTGGTGCTCTTTCCCGCCTTTCATGAAAGCTTCTAAAATAGGACTTTCCTCTGATGACATTCGTTTGGGTTTGGGTTTTTTTGGTGAAGATAATTTCCTTTCAAACTGCTCTGTCCCACTGATAGATACTCCATTTCTTCCATATTTGATGTTTGATTTTTGAGGAGAATCCAACATATGTTTGTCTAAAACAGCCACAATTAAAACACATACAAATTGTGTTATTAAAAATAAACTAATGTTTCTATTAACTATCAATTGATAACTGTATTGAAGTTACTAAAAAATTCAAGCCAATTACTATTTGGGTAATAAAGTACATTTTGGAAGAGAAATTAAGAAATAGGTTTACCTTTTATGAAGTGTATGTTCATAAAGCCCTTCTGCTATATCATCTAACCTCCCTAAGGCTCTATTTGTGAGCTACTGTACTAGAGAATAAAAATAATATTAACACTGGGAAGCAGAGGCAGGCAGATCCCTGAATTTGAGACTACCCTGTTCTACAGGGTGAGTTCCAGGACAGCCAGGGCTACACAGAAAAACTCTGTCTTGGGAAAAAAGAATAAAAAATATCAACACTATAAACTGGATTATTTTAAATGCTAAATATGTAGAACAGATGGTTTAATGTTTATCACATCTTCATTATAACTGTATAATTTTCAATTCTGACAGTATAATAAAACTTTGGAGGCCCTCTTCACCTCTAAAACAACCCATCAAAAATACATTAAAAATATGCATACCTTGTTTAGAAGCTGGCTTGAAGAAATCTATAATTGACTGTTTCCTGAAAATAAAAGCACAACTAATATGGCATCACAAAAGCAGGTATTAAAACCTCAATATTTTAGATTAGGTGGTAAATGTCAGATTTATATAATACAGGCTGGATTCCACTAACTGACTGAACTAACTAATCAAGTTCTGACAATGGTAATCATACTTTGCTATGCTACAAGAAAATTGAAAATACAACCAATTTTCTCTAAGTTTATAAATACAACCGAGGTAGTACTAAAATGGCAAAACTAAAGTGCAAATCTAGGGAACTGATGAGTACTGTTCAGTCTAGAAATGCTCACACCTACATGCTAGGGTAGAAGGCCCTGGGGAGAAGCATCTAATTCTATTTGTTGTAACCTCCAGGGACTGGCAAAAAATACCATTCAAACAGAAACCTGACAAGCAGTGGAGATCATAAACGCTAAAAGACTCTTGCAGTAGGAGTAGAGTAACAGATGGGAGAATGAACAATCCAGTTGATCTGGGGAGGTAGTTGATAGGCAAAAGCAGAAAGGATCATGCATGGTCCTTACACACTTATCTCTTTTTGGTTTATAAGATGCTAAACTAAGTAACAGCAAAAACTAGGAGCCACAACTTGTGTTTCAAATGGCTTTTTATCTAAGATTCCTTAAGATTAGCCAGGAACACCTTCAATCCAGCACTCAGGGGACAGAGGCAGGTGTATCTTTTGTGAGTTTGAAACCAGTCTGTAGTTAAATCTAGGCCAGTGAGGGTTACATAGTAAGACCTTGTGGGGGGGGCACCACACACACACACATACACACACGCACGCACGCACATACAAAAAACACACAAAAGCGTTCAAGGGGCTGAAGAGATGGCTCAGTGGCTAAGAGCACTTGCTGTTCTTGCAGAGAAGTGGATTTGGCTGTTTACAAATGTCTAACTCCATGTCCAGAGTATGTGATGTCCTTTTCTGGTCTCCTCAGGTACCAGGCACACACATGGTACAGATATACACAAAGCCAAAACAAAACACTCATAAAATAAGTAAAATTAAAAAAAAAACTCTTAAAATGAAAGACATATGAAAGTCAACAAGTAAAAAAACAAAACAAAAACCCAAAACCAAAACCAAATTGGTTTTATTGTGCCCTATCCTATACTCTGATTTGTTCATGCATGTTGAGATGTCAGTTATAAAAGGGGAGATGTTATATGCAGAAGAAAATTGAGTATCTTATACGTTTTACTGGCCACATGAGAAGAACAATGTGCATCTTTACTGATTTACCTAGACCCTACTGGTATGTTGATAGAACCTTAATGGTTCTGAGTGAAATGTAACAAGTTATTGGAGATTTCATGCTTATATTTACAGAAAGTAAATTACATTAGGTAAATTAACTCCACCACTGAGTAAAGGAAGAAATGCTAGAGTCTACAAAGGGAAGACAAATTATGCCCTATTGTTGGTAGTTGGAAGGGTGCAAAAGAACACAGAGAGAACTAATTCAAATCAAGATACATTAATGCCTCTTTGTTAAATATAACAGCTCTCTCCCCTAAAGTATTAAACCCAATACTCCTTTTCAATACACCAGAAAGAGGGGGGAAAAATGGCTTTGGGCAAACCATGTAACTTCAAATGAAACTTTCTAAGAATTGTTTCCTAAGTTCAAATGCACAGAAATGTCCATTACTTATCGATAACTGGTTTAAAAATTTATGACAGCCTCACAAACCTTTATCTGAAAGTTCAGACACTGAACATGTGTTAGAATTTTGAATTTATTGGATTTTCAAAAGGGAATATCTAGAATATATTATGTATGGCCCCCAGCAGAGTCTGGTGTTGCAACCTGTAGCCAAACATACTAATATTTCTCCAGCAAAGCTTATGAGCACGCAGTAGAATAAAGCCCATCCACAACCTTTTATTAGCTCTGGCTGGCCTGGCTCGGCTGCCAAGTAGGCTGTGGTAGAAAACTTAATGAAAACGTTTGCTTTTTATAGCTTCCTGGCTTTCAGAATTAAGATAAAGGATTGTGAGTCTGTGTCACAATATTAAAGCATATATTGAAAACGCGTTACCACTTTTGTAAATTAAAATAAAAAAGACAGTACCAAGTTCGTAGATAATTTAAACATGTTTTATTGTCAGAGGATGTCATTTGATGAAACTCTCCATTATTACATGCTCCCAGAAAATCTTTACCAAAAAAAAAAGAAAGAAAATGAAAAAGGTAGGTTCTCTTAGAGAGGCAGAAAAGTTCCTCAAAGAGAAAACAGGCGCATTCCAAAAATGTTTTTAGTGTGAATGATCATGTACACCGTACTATAAAGTAATTCGTGGGTTTTCCTTATCACATCTTACATAATTTCACTCAGTGTAGAAAGTACCAGGATTAGAACAATCTAAACAGATGCATCGAGTAGGAAGGGTCCCAGGTCAAGCTCTCGAAAAGGATAAAAATAACCTTCTACCTAAGGCGAGCTCTCCGTAGCCACCGAGGCTGGTGGTCACTAGACCAAAAGCAACACCCCAACTACAGAAAAGGAGACTCCAACTCCCAGAAGCCCCTGCGCGGAGGCGGGGCAAGGGCTAGCAGGCCCCAGAACATCAAGGCCTGAGCTCGCTGAGGATGGCGGGAACTGAAGAGCAGCCGTCCGCAGTCCTCCCTTCTACCCGTGCCCCCGCGACCCGGCCCCGTCTCAAGCCCCCTGCACGGTACCTGTCCCCAGGGCTCTCTGTTCTTTTTCCCGCTGCAGCAGGGGCGGTACTACCGGGTCTCAGATGGCAGCGCGGGGGCGACGACCCCGGGGCTGGGGATGAGGGGAAACCTGGCCTAGCGGGCATGCAGCGCCTTGTCATGTCGGCGCCGCTGGCGACGGCGGCATGAGCTGTGGCTGGAGAAGCTGGGTGCGTGGTTGCCGTCTTGCTGCTGGGACTCGGGGAGGCTGTCGGTGCAGAGGTGGGCGGCACCCCCTACTCTCTTCATGGCGGTTCTCTCTTCGGAAGTGACTCCGGTGTGAGCGGGAAGGAACCTGAGGACCGCCAGGGGGCGGGCCTTACTTGAGGTGCCGCGTCTTGATTGGCTGACCTGGGGGTCACTCTGGTGGTGGTGCAATAGAAAGCCTCGGCCTGCAAGGAGAAGGCGGGGCTTTCTGGAAGGGGGAGGGGAGAATGAAAACTGCCCTCCCCAGACCCGTCACGTGCGCCTGGGGCGCGCGCCTCCGCGTCGGGGCCGCGTCGGCCTTGGCGGGTGCGTGGGAGTGGGAAAGCGGAGGCTGTGGCCGCTGCTGCGACAGCTGGCGACACCCGCCTGATCCAGGGCTAGGAGTGAGGTTTGCAGAAGTAAACCCGAGCCTGCAGCTGTTTGCAGTGAGGATGGCCAACAGTTGTCTCGATTGTGCTACAGAAGTGCACAGCTGCTCTCATATTACAGAGTCACTTTAGCATCTTAGGCCAAAGTGCCTGAGTGCTGTCACCATTTCCTCAGTAATCTGCTCTGCCCATTGTGATTTGACCGTTCTGTGAGGGGTCTTATATGCAGTAATATGGTTTTTCCCTGTCCCCCCCACTAAGGACAGGGTAGGGAGGACACCTAACCATTGAATTAGACATTTTTTATTCTGTAAAAGCGTTTTGCCTGTAATGGGTTTCCCATGAAGTCCCTGCAAATAGACGTTTTCGGAGATTTTTGGACATACCCGTCTTCATCTGTAAAGGATTTCTACTTTGAAGGCCGTTAGATTGGGTTTTCTTTGCAAATTGAGGGACTGGTCAGACAGTATTTCTGAACCTTACTTTCCTTGTATATAGAATGGGTATATTACTCACTTCTCTGGGTAATTTTAAGCAATTAAAAACAGCAGTGTAAACAGGTTTAGATTCTGTCATGTAATTGGTACTAATACATGATTCCCTTTCCTTTGTCCTTCAGATAGATGCCTGCAGTGACAGGCCTGAGTCCTAGCACGTGAGAGACTGAAGCAGAAGGGCCAAGAGATTGAGGCCATGGCTATGGTGATAGTTAGAGCATAAAGGAACTTGCTTTCGTGACCCAGGACCACACGGCGGAAGGAGAGCTGATTCCACCCAGCGAGTTATCCTGTGACTTGTCAGCATACACATACACGAAATAAATGTAATAAAAGACACATTTTTTTTAAAAGAGAGAAATAGCTGGGTGGTATTGGCATACTCCTTCAATCCTAGCACTTGGGAGGATAGGCAGGTGGATCTTTGTGAGTTCAAGGCCAACCTGGTCTACAAAGTCAGTTCCAGGACAACCAGGGCTACACAAAGAAACCCTGTCTTGAAAAACCAAGAGAAAGAGAAATAGATATTGAGGCTTAACCTTAAGTATGTAGCAAGATCCTGTCCCAAATAAGCTAAATAAAATCTTCCAGAGACTGAAAAAAAAACCCTATTATAATGCTTGTTAATAAACAAAGTATCAATCTCAAAGATGTCCAGGCTTTAATTAAGGGGAATGTTCTCTCAGTTGGACAGAACAAATTCCTAAATGACACACACACAAAATTGAGCAGGTCTTCCAAATTTATTGTACCGAGATTGAATTGCTTCTGTGTCTAAGCTTACTAGACTGACCTGAAGTTCACCTCTTTTCTCTTCCCTGGTAGCCCTCAAGAGGAAGAATTACTGAGAAGAAAGCGACCAATAAGCTGGCAAAGGAGGAGGTAGGCGGTAAGGAGTAAACACAGGTCTTCCCAGAACGCACAGCTGCATGCTAGGTATTGAAGGTGTAAGAAAAGAAATACCAAGGTCGAGGGCACTTTTTCTGCTTCTTATGGCTGAGACTAATTTACTGGCTGCTTATATGTATTATTCCGTACATTAAAGAAGAGTGCAATAGGTGTGGAGTAATGCATACGTTTGTTTATGTCCTTTTATGTATATTATTTCCTATCCCTTCCTTGACTTAGTACTTTCTGTTGTCTGTTTCTCCATTTCTCCACTAGGAAGTCCCTGCTTCTCTAACAGCACAGCCACAAAACTTTTAAGCCGATTCGTTTCATTGCATGCTCAGTCCATAAAAAGAATAAAACATAAAAACACATTCTGCATGATCAATTAGGCGCTTTTCTTGGATTATAGTATTTGAATCATCCAGCCTCCAAAGTATCGCTTTAAAGTCTCCACTCATACTGCCAAACAATAGTTTTCACATTTTCTTAATCTGATCAGCAGATTATGAAGTTAAGTGAGGCAAGAAATCCCTTGATCAATAAATGGAGATGGAGTCATAATGAAAGCACAATTTAAAAAAAATCTCTCCTTAACTGGGAAGTAGTTACCTAAATCCTCTATAAGCATCAAGGCCTTTCTTTGTTTAAGATGCACAGGAAAAAGATACAGATTTGGGTTGCAGAGTGAGATGCAGTCAACATACTAACAAATGGCTAGAGCCCGAGACGCTCCTTTCCTGCAAAGAGAACTGGACCTCTGTCTTGTGTTGCACCTCATTATACACGATGCACAGACATATGTGGTCCATCTAGGGCTTCCCCCACCCCGCTGAGGATGGAATTCAGGGTCTCGTGTATATGAGGCAAGCATTCTGCCACTAAGCTATTCCCAGTTTGCTGAGAGCTTTTTGGTTTTTTTTCCTCCTTTCCTTTCTAGTGGACTGAAAATAGATAGTCAGGGAACTATAAACTGTAAAGACTGTCAAAAGAGTTCTCATGTGTGCTCTCATGGGGTGACAAGGACAGGGGAGGGAAACTGAGGTGTGGATGTGGGGTGCGGTGTTGAACAATGCCAGCAAGACTGGGTGAGAGCTAGTACAGCTTTCCAGCCGGTATTGAAAAAGGAATTTAGAGAAAGGAAAGCTGAACTGTAAATGGCTAGTTTGGTAAGAGCCTGGCGCAGCTTTTTAAATTCTATCTATTTATTTGGTGTTTTGAGATGGGGTTTCAGCTGCCCTCAAACTTGATCTGTAGACCAGGCTGGTCGTGAACTCACATATTCATCTGCCTCTGTCTCCTGAGTGCTACGATTAAAGGCTAAATAATTTATTTGTGTGTGTGTGTGTGAGTATTCTGTCTACATGTATGTCTGTGCACCACTTGCATGTCTGAAGCTCACAGAGTCCAGAAGGCAGTATTGAATAACCCTGGAACTGGAGTTACAGACAGTTGTGAGCCACCATGTGGGTGCTGGGAATTGAACTCTGGGTCCTCTGGAAGAGTAGCCAGTGTTCTGAACCACTGACCAGTGTCGCTAGCCCTGCCCACCCAGTGGCTTCTGTAAATAAAGTATTTGTGAGCCACAACTCAGCCCACTCTAGCAACAACTCAGTAAGTCAGCAGGCTCTGATACTGATGAGAAGGAATGGGAGCGATAGCCAGGGAAAACCTTTCTGTGAACAACAGAGCAAGTTTGCTAGGAAAGGCAAGCTCTGGGTGGAGTCCTGGGAAAAGTGACTATCTAAGGGATGCCAGAGATCCCAGGCAGTCACAAAGATTTGCTAAACATTGTGGGTAAATGATCTCACAGAACCTCAGCACTCAGGGATTAAGAGACTATCAGTGCATAACAAAGATTCGCTAAAACGCTGGAAACCTGTAAGGCCACTTCTGGCTTTACAAGAATGACATGGTTTTGTGTTGAGATTACTCTACTTGGAAATCAACTCCAAGGCTCTCAGAGGGTGCTGTAGGGCAGGCCAAGAGACAAAGACCCATGTGCTAGGGAGAGGGTGGGGGTAGGAGTGTGTGGAGGGTGGTCTGAGAGGTGGGATAAGGAACAGACTCAGAGAAACAGGAAACAATTAACTTGAAAGCCTGGCAGAGAAAGACAGACCACATGAGGGTCTCAAGGAGGGAAAGTGGGCTCACTGTGGCTCAACACACACACATCACCACTACAAACAGATGTTGAACTCAACAGGGTTGAGCAAATGCTTGGGAAAAGCACCAGTTTAGCTTCAGGGAATGCCTGCAAGGTGCCAAATTTAATACAATGCCACGCAGTCCAAATGTCTTGGGAGTAAATAGTAAAACTGCAAAAACCGGAGCTAAGGACACCTACTTTACGTTGTTTCCCCATGGGAATGTTTCAAGACAGTTTCCCACACAGACACACTGGAAATATATTTGTGATTTTTGCCATGTCTAACAACTTCCTATACTATTGCCTAGTTACTTTATTCTTTGTCATCTTTGCTGGGGATCAAATCCAGAGCCCTGTCCATGCCAGACAAGTGTTCTACCATCCAGCTACATCCCTGACCCTTGCTGTTTTGAGACATAGCCTAACTGTATAGCTCAGGCTAGCCTTGAACTCACTATGCAGCTGGCTCATCTTCACAATCCTCTTGCCTCTATCTCCTAAGAACAGGGATTATAAGTGTGAGCCACCACAGCTATTCTGACAAACATGTAACATTCATGGTACACACAGACACACATGCACACACGTTGTTCGACGGGCTGTTTTTCTTTGTGACATATACCTATGTTGGTGTGTATGCATACAGGAGGAGGAAGAAGAATGAGGCCCAAGTGTCTTCAGTGGCAGTATCTACCTATCTAAACACGTTTTGGGAATTATTGGTTTTAGAGACTGCAGCCTACAGCCAGGCATTTCTCACACATGGTTAGTGAGCCATTAGAAGGTTTTGAAACTGAGTAGTGAGTCACAGATATACTAAGCAGTAATGACTGACCAGGATGGGGGCCTAGAGAATGCTGGCACAGTGCACATGGTGTAGGAGCTCAGATCTGATTTCCATTACAGATTATCTTTCCTGAAGACTTGAATGTTAACTTGCTGACAGGGAGAAAGAAATCCCTGTACATTTCACTGAGTATAGTAGGAAACACTACTATTCTATTAGTGTTTCTCTTTCTTCCTGTTCTGTAACAGTTTCTAGATAGAGAGAAGGCTGGTGTATCTCTCTCTTCAGTAACCTAGTAACTGCAAAAAGGGTGAGGAGGGATAATGACAGACAAAAAGAGATCTTATATTCCCTGTTCAAACTGCCCTTCATGGAGAACTTGAATTTCCGGAGCTGTAGAGAGCCTTTTAGAGTAATTATTTGATGTCAGACCTTTGCAATGCTCTTACCAGAATTCAAAGTACTGACTGTGATGTGTGTGTTTAGAATTATTAATTTTTATTTTGTGTGTACCCACAGGTATTGTGCCTGTATATATGTCTATACTATAAGAATGCAGAGGATAGAAGAGGGTACCGGATCCTCTGGAACTGGAATTACAGATAGTTGTGAACCACAATGTGGGTGCTAGCAACTGAGCCCAGGTTTTTGGAAGAGCAGCCAGTGCTTTTAACTATTGAACTATCCAGCCTCAAACATGATGCATCTTATGGTGTTCTTTATGGTGCTAGGGACTGAACACACACACACACACAGACACACAGACACACACACACACACACACACACACAGACACACAGACACACACACACACACACACTCATGCTACTACTGAGTTACACCCCTAGCCTTTCTTTAACAAGTTCTTTACATTCAAGCTTTAAGCTTCAAAAACACCATAATAGTGTGCCTTTTCTTCTGTTGTCTAGATTTTTGAAACACTATCTTGCTTATGTAGCCTGGCTAACCTGGAATGTACTTTGTAGACCAGACTGTCCTGAAACTCATGAACACACAGGTTAGTATTAAAAGCCTGTATTTCAATATCAAGCCCCAAATAATTTTTTAAAAGCCTGGAACAATATTTAAAATTCAAGGGGTCCTATACAAACTTCTAGATTTTGTTTTGTTTTGAGTAGCACAATCAAGATTCTCACATTTAACCCTACAGCAACTAGATAGATAATGAAGAAATATTAATAGCCAGGGAGCTGCCTTGAATCTCAGCATTGGGGAGGCAGAGGCAGGTGGGGCTTTGTGAGTTTGAGACCAGCCTGGTCTACATGGAGAGTTCTAGGACAGCCAGAGCTATATAGTAAAAACCTGTCTCAATAAATAAATAAATGAAATAAAAAAATCAGATCCATTTTCCTGCCACTTATAGAGACATGGAGTCATAGAGTATTTCTTAACACTAATGATGTCCACAACAAGCACTCATTGGCCATGTTGTGGATCAAAATCTGTTCTGAGTAGTTTCTGGATTCTGACCCATTTAATCACCGCATTCCTACAAATTAGAAAAGTGTCCTTGTCCGGTGTCCGTATCAGCGTGATGATAAATGGTACCTGGTACTCAGCCTCAGTGTGGAAGGAGAGAGTCTGAGAGAGTTGGAGGGCACATTCCTGACTAAGTGAGGGCATTGTCTCCAGACGATGATTTCCTCATGGGAATGTGGGTCTGCTGCCTCTCCTCCTTGGCACCAAACGCTGGGATACTGTGAATGAGACATGGCAGGCCTGCTGTCAAAGCAGGCAGTTAGTAGTGGTTTCTCCAGCACTTGTTTATTTCTATAGCACTGTGAGATCATGTTCACCACCCCCCCACCATATACCCTACTGTTTAGCCCAGTCCAACCAAACGTCTCTTGGAGCCAAAAGAAGTAGTAATGAGTGCTTCAGTGCCTAGAGGAATGCTCCAGAGAGTGGGCAAGATATTGAATAATTTTTCTTTAAAACAAGGTCTGGTCAGGCTGTGGTAGCACATGCCTTTAATTCCAGCACTCAGGAGACAGAAGCAGGTGGAGCTCTATGAGTTCGAGGCCAGCCTGGTCTACAGCGTTCCAGAAGAGGGTCCAAAGCGACACAGAGAAACCCTGTCTCAAAAAACCATGAACTCGGCCTGGAGAGATGGCTCAGTGGTTAAGAGCACTGACTGTTTTTCTGGAGGTCCTGAGTTCAATTCCCAGCAGCCACATGGCGGCTCACAACCACCTTGAATAAGATCTGGTGCCCTCCATTGGCATGCAAAAGACTGTATACACAATAAATAAATTATATATATGTATATATATATATATATATATATAAAACAAAACCATGAACTCTGTCGTACAAGTTGTTGGAGCCCATAAAAATGGCTCTGGTTCATCTTGGTTTAAGGTCAGAGTTCAAAACTATCCTTACTCTTGCAGGGTTAAAGTTATAAGACCTAAAGATCTAAGGTGTGGCTACTGAAGGATGTTTGGTCTTGGTCGTGGATGTCTTACGTAATAATGAGACTTGCTCTAAGGTGTGGTTACTCTTAACCCTCAAGTCCAGATAATTAGAGATTTAGTCTAAGGCATGGTTACCAATGTTTGGAGAATTAAGGAAAAAATTCTGTTTCTTCCTTGTATCTTGATAAAAAAGTCTTTTGCCGTGTTCCCCTTTTGGTTGGGGTATTTAAGAATGTTGAAGAATAAACTTGGGGCATCCGGTATCCACTGAATTGCCTTCCTGATTCTGTTCTATGTCTGTGCCTTTTTCTCAGCGTCTTTATCTGCCATTTCTCAATCCACACTCCCCCTCTCAGGTATGAACCAGGCAAGTCGGCTGGATCTGACTGAAGCCCCACAAAGACAGGTTGCAAGAAAAAGTGATCTTGAACTTGGATTCTCCTGCCTCCACTTATGGAGTGCCATGACTATAAGTGTGAATCTCCACACCAGCTTTGTGCTCAGGATCAAATCCGGGGTATCTGATGTGCTAGGCAAGCACTCTGCCAACTGACAGGGTGTTCTATAAGCAGGATATGTTGTGGTTAACATGTGTCTGACTGCCTAGCCTTCCTTGCTCACCCTCAGCCTTGTGTTATCAGTCAGCAGATCTTACTGATTTTGCATCTTAAGTACCTTTGTAAGCCCCTCTGGTTTTTTGCAAATGTAAAATATATAGATACATACAAAGAATAACATAGGCACACATTCACTAGTTTGCATTCCCAACTGTTAATCTTTTATCTAGTTTTAATTCCCCTCTTTCCTATTATCGTAGTTTTGATGTCAACTGAAAGGCTCTCTCTCATGCATATTTAGTCAACAAGAATGTGTAGGATTATTTTCTGTATATCTTCAAAATATGCACATGTATATTTTATTTATGTGTTAATAGTCTGCTTTCTTATTTGCCCATGACAAACCATGCTGCCATGGACATCTCTGTCCACATGTCTTTGTGTCTATGTGAAAGAGCCTCTGTGATTGTATAATCAGAAGGGAAATTACTGGGCTATGGGGTAGTTGCATTGTCAAGTTTACTGTGTGCTTCCAATGCTTCTACTGACTGAATTTACTTCCCCCATCAATATATAGAGTATCACTTTTCCTAGTATGGCTCCAATATGTCATTGTTTTATTTTTACATTAACCTTATTTGGTTTAATATCTATTTATATATATGGGACAACTTGGAATATCTTTTGCTAATTGTATATTTCTATATTTTACCTTTTTTTTGTTTTTTTTGTTTTGTTTTGTTTTTGGTGTTTTGAGACAGGGTTTCTCTGAGTAGTCTTAGCTGTCCTGGAACTTGCTCTGTAGACCAGCCTGGCCTCAATGCATGGAGATCTGCCTTTCTTTGCCTTCCAAGTGCTGGGATTAAAGGTTTATGCTACTACTGCCCAGCTAGAAGACTTCATAGTTCGAATACTCAAAAATCCTTTCTACCTCCCAGCTGCAGCCTGACAGAGGTCAGCGGTCCTCAGAGTTTCTTGTAGCAGCTTCCACGATGGCCTCCTGTCTCCCACTTTGCTTTAATCTACTTTCCACATTGAAGCCTCCACTATCTCTAATAAGCCACTCTGACCATGTCATTCCTAAATTCATCACATAAAAGAAAAATAAAGACATATCATATAAGACATGACCATCCCCCGCCCCTTCATCCTCTGCCAACTTTTAAGATTTGCCATGCCAGATGTAACATTTCTGATCCCCCACTGTCTTCTGTGTAGAGCATCATCCTTCCTGGTGCTCCCTAAACTGAGCCAGTCACAGGAATGGACATTGGACATCTTTTGTTGTCAGTGTCGCTCCTGCTTCTGGAATCTTGTACAAGCCATTTGTGGTGCATCTTGTCCTTGTGAACATTTCCCTGATATTCCTAAAGAGACCTGGTTGCTTCTTGCTCAAGCCTCATGAGCACTGGGTTCACTGTGATGTGTGACCTTACACTGAAGTAACTTACTGTGAATGTATCTTTCCTCTAGATTAAAAGCTTCAGGTGGACAGGGCTCTGGCTGCTTGTTTCAAGAGGCAGAACAGTGGGGTGTCTAGGAGGGTACACTCTGAAGCTAGCCTACCAGGATTTGAATTGCCTTTTTTACTCTTAGGGAAGTTACTTAACCCCTCCATGTCCCAGAGTTCTCATTTGGGAACTGGACATATCAGCAGTGCTTGTGTCATTGGTTTATGTTAATTGAGTTAATACATATAAAGAACTTGTAACAGTGTCTGGCAGCATCTAGTAAGTGCTCAATAAATCTTCATTCTGATGATCACTGCTATTAACTAGTTAGTAATAGCTATCATTTATTTATGTCATTATGGATGACACTTAGCAAGAAAATGTACCCAAGGCAGAAGCAGTGCTAGCCTAGGTAACACCTGGACATTCCCAGCTGAAGGTCCAGGAGTCACCCAGTAGTCACTCCTGGCTGGGATCCCTGACGGTGTTTTTGTTCCTGGCCTATGTCCCTTGACCCTCCACCCCAGTCACTCAATTCCTTGCCAGAAACATCTAGAGATACAGGAAAACACTGTGTCAAAGGTGCCTGGGGACATTCTTTGCATCTTTAAAACCCTGGTCGCTACTCTGGGCTGCCACCACCCAGTCTTCTCCGTCCCACTCACCAAGTCTGCCTTCACTCTCCAAGCAGGCTTCAAGTCTGAGCTCTCAGTAGGTGACAAGCTCCAAATCTCTGGGCCAGAATTTCCCCAGAATCCAGTTTCTCATGTGTGTGTGGGGGGAGAGGTGGAGGGTGACTCACATGTCCCTCACTATAATGTTCTCTTTCTGAACTCTTGCAAGCACAACATTTTTACTTTGTGTTCTTCTTATGACATGGGCAGAAAGCAGCCCTTCTGAGCATCCAGGAGCAGAAAAATTAGCTTGATGTTTGTGTGATAGAGCAGAGCCAAGAAGTGTTACGCCTGATTTCCTGGAGGCCCCGGCTGCTGGCTTCCATCACAATGAAGCACTTAGATATGGACAGGTGTGAAAGTCAAGGGATCAGCCTGGGGATTCGGAGTGGCTCTGGTTCAGCAGAGCAAATGCGGAACAACAGGTGTTTGCAGATTCAGTGACCCATGAGACACTGTACCCACAGCTCACTCTGAGACTGAATTCTCATGAAATCAGTCCCTTTGTGACACGGCACCACAACACACGTGCACACACACTGGTTCTCCATGGAGCTCAGAAACTGCATCCTGAGGACTTCTGCCAGCCTTGGTTACAGGTCCTTGGAGGTTAGGTGTGACTCACTCAGGATTAGCTAGCTGCCTTTGGGACTGGAGAGTCTGGCATTTTTAGGATGTTGGTTGTTCATAGAACACTGCAGATGCCTACGTGTATAGTAATTAAGAGGGACTTTCTGGTTCGAGCCCATGGTTATTATCAACAGAACTGACTGGACATTGGCCCATTGAATGGGGATCCCTAATCTAGGGTGCTCAGAATTGCTAAGATTTCTCTGAAAATATGGCACACTCAGGCTTGACAAGCAGGTATATTATGGGAGGAAGAATTAATCTAACCCAATACTGGAGTTAGAAATTGGGTTGGAGAACTCTGTAAAATAGGTATTTCCTTACTCTTGCCTCAGGTGGACAGGAGTCAGAGCCAGGACCTGAATCACCATTCATGAGTTTTTGCCGTCCCCTCTTACACTGTAGAATGATGGCAAAGCCCACTCAAAGCTGAAATGTCCCAGTGTTGACCACCAGACAGGAGAGTTTAGGGACAGAAGGTTGCTCTTCAGTGAGGTTTAGAGGTAAACGAACTCAAAGGACGAATGGCAGCCACCGAAGGGAAGGGAAGGAAGCATGTAGAATATCTGGGTCTGCGCCGAGGGAAAGAAGAAAGCTTGGATGAGGGTCACTGTAGGAAACGGCTGAAAAGAGCAGGTGAACAGCCACAAAGTTCATGTGTGAAGGAAAGCCACCTGTGGCAATATAGCCACCAAAATGGAAGTAATTCCAGTATCCATCAAAGGACAATCAAGTACCCCACAAAACAACTTTATCCTGGAATACTATACAACCATTAAAACACTGGAGAAGATATACCTGTGCAATATAAGAAAGATAGCTTGAGATAAAGGGAGAAAAAGCACAGTGTGCCCAAGTATGCATACAGTGAAATCCCTTCTAGACATGTGTTCTCTTAAGATCAGGCATGCACTATGTACTAACACATTCTTGTACTGCATAGACATATCTACAAGGAAGCACAGTTGCTCTTTGACTGACAGTGGCGTTACAGCCTGCTAAACTTACGGCAAATTGAAAACACTGGGAGTGGAAAATGCATTTCATACACCACCGTCTAGCTGCACAGTTCACTGTAGAGCGCTGCTTGTGTCTCCTGGCTGATGAGGAGCTGCAGCTGGCAGCCCCTGCACAGCACCCACCAGAGAGTATTATGTAGCATATAGCTAGGCCAGGGAAGGATCCCAGTCCCAATGCACACTAAATGTGTGTTGCTTTGACGCTATCATAAAGTCTAAAGTCATTAAGTGGAATCACCATGAGTTAGGGCTGTTTGCACACAACAACGCTT